GACACTGCTCTTATGGGCCTTGATTCACTGCATGTTGACATAAAGGTGTGACAAAAGATGAACAGTGTAAACAAGATGGTGTGGCATTTGGAGACACTCTTGCAGAAATGATAAGTCGTGCCAGTCTTGAAGCGGCTTTGTTGTTAATAGGCATAAGACTGGGAGACACGTAGGCAGAGACGGAGCGCCAGAGCACCGAATTGGAAATCGAGACCTCCGAGGCTAGATGTGTAAATGGAGAAAGTGCCTTTGGTTGCATAGCCCTGCACCCCTTAATCACTCTTCTAATTCGGTCCTCATAACGAAGTCGGTGTTTGGAAAACTACCTTATAGCTATGTATAAAGACTATCTGTGCATTGTCGTCAAGCCGAATATCTACCTGGTACAATATCGGTAATGTATACCATCAATTTTGATAATTCTGTAGATAATATCCGCATTTCCAATTCTATTAAGGTGAATGATTGGCTTCGCACCACTCACAGTTGGAAGATGTTTTATGATGGGTAGATTTTATTTATCAATCGCTAATTGAAGGTTTGTTTGTCTACAGACAGAGGCATTTGAGATTGCAAGTAATCTAAGGTTCGGCATCCACTCCTCCCTTCCGTCCTCAATTCAATGCTGCCCACGTGTCCGTCTGGATTGCTTTCGGCTACTAAGAGCATTAAGGTGGTATCAGTTCTCTATTTTTTGCGCGTATCTTACCAACACAAGAATGTACGCCCTCATCCGGTATCGCTTTAATTTGTTATTTGCCCTCTCAGTGAGCACGAAATTGGAGATATGGACAAAGTGAGCGAAGCTTACACAATCTTCCTGGATTAAACCATCTGGGCCATACGATTTAATTTGATATCCAGGATCAAATAAAGAGATTTGGGTTTATTCCAAGGAGGTGCGTTTACAGTTGGCACCAATACAGCTTCTCCAGTCGTCCCTTAAGTCGGCATAAGCTAAACAACAAAGAAGGTCTGGAAGGTTGGAGGTCCAGGCAGCTTGACAACCTGTGCGGATACGTAGACTTAACTGGTTAAGGTGTAGTAATTTGGGCAAGAAGTTTTTTAAGTGATTTGGAATGAAGTGTGTTTCGATTTCTAAGATAGCAGTTAAAGGATTCCCAAAATTTTCAACAATTAAAACCTGTAATAATTTCCCTAAAAATGAATTCAACTTATATCTCTAAGCTAATATGAATTCGGACTGTTGACATTTGTCACTTATAAGCAGTAATTTCATCCTTGAGGTTGATTTTATTAATGGCCAGTATCGATTAACTGCTGAAAATAATATAGGTGTTTCTTTTCAAAAATTAGCCAAATGCTACATTTTTCCTTTTATTTCTGCAAATTTTTGCTATCAAGTTCTATTTAGACGATTTTTTGATGTCGTTTTTGTTACACGGGCGCTTAAGGCTCCGCCTTAGTGCTTCCATTTGGCTGCATGGCCTCCGGGCCATGCCAGTAGTCATCTAGCCTTCTTGTAGCATTATGTCTTCTTTCACCTTCAGGGAAATCTCGGGGCACTGCAAGCAAGTATTGCTTCGCACTTCAAAGAACACTTAAGCTCCCTCAGGAGCTTTAGTGACTTACTGTTGAGTAATTTGATAGACAGAAAGTGATGCCGCTGCCTTGAACTCTGCAAAAGGATTGGTTGCTTATGCTTCATTAGTTGTTTTAGCATAATCGCCTGGATGAAGTAGGTTGGCTTACAACTTTGGTGAAGTAAGAAATCAACAAATCCAACCGGTCCATGTGTGCACCTCCGACGCGGGGTAGTGACTCAGATTGCCCCTCATAGCAGGTGGAATCCCCATTCAGCATTGTCGTGCTGTCGAAAGTCATTTTAATTCATTTAATCTTACAAATCATCGTATTCACACTGGAGATGCGGCAAACATAAACTTTGTAATATCTCTTATAAGTACTATTTAACCACAAAATTTATTCCTTCCAAAGACCACTTCAGCCTTCTAGATGCCGTATTATAGTGGAGGAGTGAATTCCAAAGATGATTCATTGATGACTTATTCGTGAATCACCATTTAGGGTTTACCCATAGGCTACACTGCCGTTAGGAATGTTTGTGACGTCAGTAATTTTGGACGGGCGACGGTTGTGGTGCATAGAATTGTGCATTTTGTGGGATTGGAAGAACTTCCCAAACATTTGTAGGGATGCTTTTGATACCAATGAAGATATTTAACACTGAGTAACCGTAAACTGGCAGCCTGATCTGCAAACGAAACAGAATTCTGCGTGGATTAAAACGAATGTTAAGAGTGGGGCCTACAAAAGGGCCCATTTTTTCATTTCAATGGCGTGGATATTTGAACAGAGACGACATTTTTTTACAATTTGATTATCATTGGTATACGGTGCCAAAAGTAAACTGCAGAGGAAGAAATACCAGTTACTAATACACTGCCTTGTCTTCATTATCCCAATGGTGTAATCAGATTTGAATCTGTAAATGACCAAATATGGCTGGAAATCACACGTTTGGTGGGGTGAGCCATTCCTTGAAGTGACTTTATGTCACTCCTTGAGACTTTCCCAAAGTCAAAAAGGCACAATATCGGGGTGAATTGGCATTGCCAACGTACGGAAGGGCTGGCGGGCTACTGGTGCGGCCCAAGGGCCTTAAGTGCCAACGAAACCAAAACGAAAATCGTCTGACATACTGATTTTCAACTCCCTTAAATTAACAGTACTGCATGGATGTGGATCTATACGCCTATTGTTGTTAAAACAATTTGATTAAAATATTGGAAAATAAGTCCACGAGACCGTGACACGCCTACTCATCTCAGGTCATGAGATTGACCCTGGATTTGGTGTCATGGCTTAACACCTTGTCATTCTGGTTTGAGTTTAAGCTCAACCAGTTCAACGAAGTCACACCTTTGCACTTACTTTTTTGTCAACAAAAAATAATAGGAATAGATGAGATGCTATTCCATGCTACCCAGATCTGCCCTGGAAACGGTTTGCTAAGAACAGCCTTTAAACTTGCAAAACTAAGTTAAGAACGAATGTTCAAGTTTGACTTCACTGGGCAACAGTAGGTTCCGATAACAGCAAACAATAGCTTGGGCTTGTAGGTGAGAAGCTACGATTAATCACATAATGGATTTACTTGGCTCTTTCTCGTCGGTATGCATGGACGCACCCGCTCTGATGTGGTCAGAAGGCGGTGACAACCTGCTCACATTACTATTTAGCTCTTCACCCCTTATCACAAGCAAAACTAAGATTCCGGATATGATTTGGTTTAAACCGTTCCAGGCTTCAATCCCAATTCCAAAAAGGACTAAGTT